TATGTACATAATACGTCGAGAAAGTAAAAATTAAAGACAAAAATATCGTCTCAATCACTCATACATTTTACATTCATTCTATCCAAATCCTTTTCCTTAATACTTCTAGAACATACTCGTTAACCCTTGTTTTACGACACACGACAATCTTAAGAAAAAAGCATTTCCCTTCATGTCTATCACATCACATTTCAAATGATATTGACTAAGAGAGGTTGCTCTGAGCATCAACTGATGTCACATCAGTGAATGAGACCAAATTGTTCTAGGGTTTGTGTCCCAATGGTGGCAGGATTTTGGACTCTAGCTCGATAGCTAGGTCGAATTCTGTAGCGCTCTGGAGAGTTCTAGCGACCGGCTGCCCTGATCGGTAGTTTTCCAAATAGTAGTTTTCCGCTCAATACCAGGCGAATGACGAAGCAGTACCCTAACTAACGGGCCATAGAACATCCCCCTTCCTGGTCCTATTCTTATCCCTTACTTACACACACTTACGTTTACGTGCAGTACTCTACCACACACTCTGAGACCATTTGGTAGCTACGAGCTTATCCTCCCGGCTACGCGGGTCGGGATGTTTTTGGGAGATACCTGGTTGAGATAAACCACGCCGACAGGTAGGTCCGCGCCGGACCATCCAGCAGAGGTGAAGCGTACAGAATACAGCCACCTCCCGAGGGAAAACCATGTTCTACACGAGTCACGACCTTAGCATTTGACGTACACAGAATCAATCAAATCAGTTATATGCTCTTGTTCATTGAAACTCCTTCCCTTGACTTCATACGTATACGTACTTGAGTACGCATAAAACTTGATCATCCGCCTGGAAGCGTGGTGCTCAGCTCGCACCGCCGACCTTGGCGGGGCTCGTCTGCTCTGCAGCCCTGCTACTCGTCGGCGGTTGGGCCCTTGCTAGCCAAGGCCTCTCATTGCTCCGCACGTCAAAGTTTCTTTAATACCTCAGCTGCAATGTTCCCTGCTCGCTTTCACATTGCAGACAGCTCAGTCGTGAACTCGCGAAGCATCTTATCGTCTTATCATGGATGCTGTAGATTTCTAAGATAGCGTACACTCGCAACGACCACTTGGAACATGGACACTTCTCATATTGTTCTCAACTTACTGCTAAGTAAATTCCCTCACGTAGCTGTTTATTATTAACCTAGTGTAGCTACGGTAATTAATTCACTCGGCTCATAGTTAGTTCGCTGACAACTTGATTTAGAATGCGTAAATATGTCCAGAAGACAATGAACCTCATTTCATCTCTCTTCGCACCGACCGGCGTTATGGACGGCAAGTGCGGCCGCTTCGACGCCTCGGTGACTTTCAGATTGAAGATGCACGTAGCCGCATGCACGCCCTAGCTCATTCCCAGTGAACGTCACTCTGTCTATACAAGATGTATTGGTGTGTACAAAAGATAATTGTGGATTAACATAATCGAATATTTACATTGTTTAGTCAAAATTGAAATTATTTAATTATTTTTGCATTTTCGCAGCCATCCTGGGTACTTAAAGAAACCGCTGCCACCTGGCAACTTCCTTTATGGCTGATTTCAGCTTATCGCATCACTTTGCTGGCGAATGCTACGAGTCGGATGGGAAGAGTTTGGAAAATGTATATTTTTAAGTTGTTACTCTCAAATTATGAGTTGAGAGTTAACACTAGAGTTTGCCAACGATGTTCATGTAAACTGGAGAACATTACACAAGGAAAAACAACCATTAACATATTTATTTAAAAAATATTTAACTTGGACTAACATCAGCTCCATTTCTTTCTTCTCTCTATTTGCGATTCAAGTGAAAATACTCATATTAATGAAAGGTGTTGCCAGGTTTTCTAAGAAACATTGATCACGGGATAAGTTTGTATGGTTACTTATAACTCCAAATTCGTATAATCGCAGATGTGACATTAATTTTGTTGAAGAAAATGCGATCAAATTATTTTCACATTGTGTTGCAATTTTGCGTGTACGTAATTTTCAGATTACAGTTAATCAACATAAGAGACACTGCAAAAGAAACAAAAAAGTTTCAAGAAATGTTAATAAATTTATACAAATCTAACTTTTATAAACTCTTCCGCTTTCAGTTTGTTTTAAATTCTAAAATTTCAAAATGGTTCAGTTTAGAAATACGTGAATACAGTTTCGTGCAATATTGAAATGAATTAATCGAATTAACTATTTTTGTATCATATTAAACAATTAAAATATGAACTAATACAATTTACATCAAATATGATTCAATACTATTCAGAGGACAAAGAAAAGTAAATAGTTGTAAATCAACAAATTAAATGGCCAAGAAATGTAAACGGCATTAAAATCCCTTTACTCAGCGTTACATAATTAGCACACAAATATAAATAGTACAAAAGGGAGTGGAAGTACTATATAGCGTTTTAAAATTGAAAATTGCACAAATTCTATTGCACGACATGAATATTGAAATGGGATCTTCCATGTCAACAAAAAAGTCCGAATTAAAAATGATGCACTGGTGGTGTCGTTTGCAGTGAACACAAAATTGAAATATAATTATCGGTTTGCGTTGTTGCGCTGTTTCCGAGAAATCTACTACACCTGCAAAATTCCATTGAAGCACTAATTAGCACCAATTCACAGAAGCCAGGCGCATTCCAATTTTATGAAGTGTACATAATCAGAATTTTCCGAATTTTATATTTAACATTTGTTAATATATATTAGTATGGTATGTATTATAATCATTTCTACACCACTTTATATCGTATCACTGACTATTTCCATCATTTGAAGAGTCAGCGAATCCAAGAATTAGTTTAAAATTTCAATCAATCTCAGATGTCTATTAGCAGTTGACTATCAAAATTTCCCTTCCTCTAAGTCCCTTCCTTTTCCTCTAATTTACGGGCTCTTGTATTTGTTTGTCGTCCAACAGTCAAATAAGTTTAGCCTGTGAATATGTACTATACTGCACTATTTACAGACATAATTAACAGTTTTAGCATTCAGAATTTTAGTGTTTTTGTGATTTACATATTCGTTCTAAAATTTAGTTCCCATATGCTACAACCTGATATTCAAGAACAGGAACTTAAGGTATTCCAAACAAAGATCATTGAAAACTTGCCTTCAGATGAAACAAATATAATTATCCAATAGAATGAAGTGATGAAGCAAATAGATACAGTTCTAAAATAAAGAAAAAATAAGTTTCAATAAGTTTAATATTCGATCGTTTAATTAGTTAAATATGATTTTAATGGTTTCTTTGTTAATTTGGTAATTATGTTCTCCCATCGTCGAAAGCCGTTCCTAGGACCACCAGCTACTGAGATAATGCGTAGTCAACAGTGGTGGGGTTTAACTAGTGCAACCGAAACTCATTATTTGAAAACTCACTTCTATTGAAAACCCTTTGCGGCGACATGATTATCACTAGGAGTTCCCTGTAAAAAGTAAACTAACTTCAAAGCGGGCTGCTTGAAATACGCATTCGTTGCGCTCCACCATCCATGGCAGCCCACAAAATGTGAAAAAAGTTCTTTTTGGTGAGAAATATCCAACACGCGAGTTGGATTTCTGTCATATTTGCAGTGAAATAAGTTATTTCTTGAAATCTGCCACAGCAACTCATTGTGCAGTAGCTCGATAAAATAAAAAGTACTCTTTAAAAGCAATACTCCTAACATTATTATTTAAAACTTTACTACAGAAGCATTGAATAAAATAAGTAGCAAATTAGTCATGATTAATATCCGAATGCTGATTAGTACAATTTGTGATGGTTTTTTTTTAAGAAAGACCTAGTTCTACAAATACCAAGAAATATAGACATTAGATTATGGAACAAACGTTTTACTGCAAATTTAAAGAAAATGTTTTTAATGTAAACTTAAGAAGGTATATCATGTCAAAAATATGGGATGAACCTTAATAATATTGGAAAATGTCATGTGTTCAATTTGTCTTTACAAATGGGGTGGGGGGGGACTGCGAGAGACGTGAACCATACTCCCAAAAGGCGCACAGAAATATGAGATTTCTTCACCATTGTTCCACCAACCGCGCTCTCCTTTTCGACCCATGGCCTTTACACGTGATCCACGCAAGAGCTCGTAAATAACTTCACATTGCTCTCTACTGACTTTCTGCCGTCTTCACTGCCTGCGGAGTCGATCTCGTGCCCGCCGGCACTGCAGGCGTCGCTGTAACGGTTGCCGCTGGAGGCGTCTTCTCCGGCTGTCTCCTCCACCTCCGCCATCATCCCGTCTACTGCCGCCGCCACCAAGTGTCTCTGCTGTCCCCACTCCCTCCACCACATTGCCTCGGCCACCCTCGCGTCCACTGCCGTCTCCACCTTCCCTGCTTCTTCCGTCCCACCTACCACGTCCTCCGCCTCCATTTCAAGCGCAGCTGTCGCCGCCATCACTTCTATCGCCGCCAATTCTGCTGCCTTTGTCAAACCGGACTTCATCGCCGCAACCACTCGCCCAAAAACTATCACTATCGCTTACACCGCGTCCACCGATTCCATCATTATCAACTTCGCTAGTTTTACGTCTACTGTCTCCGCTTTTGCTGCCGCTTCCCACCTCACTTTCGCTACCGCCGCAGCTTCTTCCGCCCCACCCCTCACACCTCAACCTATCTCTTTCATCACCTCGTTCTCTGCCGCTATCACCAGCGCCACCGCCGCCGCCTCCGTCCTCACCTCCACGTCCACCAACATTGCTTCCACAACCTCCGCCTTCGTCATCGCCTCCTCCCTTGCCGACGCCTTCATTTTTGACATCTCCTACCTCTCACCTTTTTGCCCTCCAGCCCCCTCACACCAGCGCATCCTTCAACGACACTGTCTTTAGCACTACCTTCAACACCGCTAACATTTCTTTCGTCAATTCCGCCTGTGTCACCGCTTCCTAACTCACCTGCCCCACCGTCTTTGCTACCACCTCCTTTCCTACCTATTTCACCAAGCATCGCTATGAGCCATCTTCTCCTATACCCCTTCCATCACTACCATTACCGTCTCCGTCATCACCATCTCCACTAACATAGCTTCTACCGCCTGTGTCTTCGTCATCGCCTCCTCCCGACTGCCGTCGCCCTCACCGACGCTTCCACCTTTGTCATCATTTCCTACCTCTTCCTCCTCTTCGCTTTCCGCCACCTCCGTTAGTGCCATCTCAAACACCACTGTCTCCGACACTACACAACTGCCAACATTTCTTCCATCAATTCCATCTTTGTTACCACCTCCCGCCTCGCCTCCCCCGCCTTCTTTGCTTCCACCCCCTTTCCTACCTATTCCAACGCATCGCTATTTGCCATCTCCGCCTACGCCACCTCCACCACTACCATCACCATCTTCGTCACCAACTTAACCTCCACTAACATAGCTTCCACCACCTCCGCTTTTGTCACTGCATCCCATCCTACCTCTTCCACTTCTTTGCTCTCCACCACCGCCTACTCCGACACCGTTTTCACATCCGCCAACACTGCTTTAAGCGCCTCCGCCTTCTTCACCGCTTCCCACGCCGTCTCCTCCTCCGCATCACCCTCCGCCCTCCCCCTCCCCCCACGCTCACGATCTCGAAATTTCGTCGGGCGTTTACTGCGCGCGTCGAAAAGAGCCATAAAGCGGCGGCGCGGGGCGACGCGGCGTCGGGCGCCGACTGTAAAACGCGCCGCTGGAGGCGCCGCGGGCGGTCAGCGCCGACTCCCGCACGCGCACCATGGAGGGGGAGGGCGGAAGGAGGCATGGCGGCGCGTGGAAATGAAGTGCGGAAGAATGGACACGGCGAGGGCGGCGAAGAAGAATCCGAAATAAGTCGCGGCGATCGGGACGGAGTAGGAATTGCGAAAACAACACGGGGGACGGTTAAAGGGAACCTCCGAGTCGACGCGGGAACCTCCTCGAGTCGAATCATAGGTGAAAGCTCTCTCGGTTCAGGTAGTACGTCGTTCGTAAAATCCTGGCGCAGATTGCGGCAGTCGTTTCGTGGAGATTGCGCAGTCGCGAATGGTGCGTGGATCACACGCGATAGGCGACAGGCGCGGCGTGTTTCATGTGAACTCGTCGTGCTCGGAGGCGTGTCGAATGCGAGGACGTAAGATGAAAGACATTTCGAAGTTCTGTTCTCTTTGAGAAACCAGTATCGGGTACTTGTTTTGTTTCAGAATACAGAGAAAGATTGACCAAAAAATGTGATTGTGATCTTGTGATTCTCAATATAGAAAAGAATTATGTAGCGCATAACCAACACAGAAATATGAAAAATGTTTTGTATTAATTTTCAGATTTTTCATATTGATGTCCAAATGAAATTTAAAGCTGTTTTTATTTTAAATTCCGTTTTTCTTTAAGTATCCAAAATCGCTCTTAAGTGTACTATACAGGACGAATTCTATGAATTAAATTACAAAGCAGAAAAGCAGTATATTTCCTGAAATGGTTTGTCCGTGATTTCAATTGATTTGGTTACTTGGCTCACATCTCCAATATTTGCAAAACTGGGTTATAGTCATCATTTGAATAAGAACATTCTTTTAAATTTGCTACATGTTAGATTGTACCTAATTGCCGTTTGTTGGTAGTCTACTTTAGTTCTCAGTTTACTTCGAATAGGACAATAGATGTGATGTTTTTTAACTTTATTTACGCGCCAAAGAGATGATGAAGATGTGACCTTTTCTAACTAAGTGAAACAATTGAGACAATCAGGAAGAATAAATAGCCTAACGAATTTAAAATTCCATTTTGGGGAAATTTCAATAATTTATTCCCTACAACTAGCGCTATTTACTGGACCTTTTTTCGGCTAGTGACAAACACACAGAGTTATAAGGCGGGGGAAAATCCTAAATACATTACGATGCACGTCTAGTCAAGTTTTTGATTGCCCCTGAAAAATCTAGAATTTAGACTGGTTTGGTTCTTTCTATTGGTTTGGCTCTTTCTATTAGTTTTCTGGTTTCAGATTTCTAAACTTTTCCGTATGATTGGTTGATTTTTGACCTTTTAGTCCACATACTACTATAATACTAAGAATGTTGAACTCTAACATTAATAGATTGCGAACATGTTTTCCTGAAAGCTTGATTTAATGAACTTGAATTGCTTTATAATCTATAGTAGGTCCACCTGAAATTCCAATTGCAGATTTGAGAATTTTTTTTTTGTTTTCGTGAAGAGTATAGAATATCCCCAGAGTTTTGTTGGGAGATCTTTGTGCCGTTAAGAATTAACTATCTTACGGTCGCTGATTGAGCCCAGCCAAAATGACCCACGTCGTTGCTGAAAGTGCTAGGAGAGTAAGCGTAAGGAGAGACATTTGAACATGGGAAACCTATCTTACGTGGACTCTATTGGTTCTAGGGGGACAATGGTCGTTATACCAGGTGATTTCTCAATCGAGTTTATGATAATATGTCAAAACGTGGAAAACTTCAAAACGCAGAGTAATCATGAACGAAGAATGTGTTTGATCTTGCACTCAAGTAAACTTTGCTTTGGAAATGCACTTTAATCCCAAAATAATGATGCTAAAAGATGATTTACGCGTGTATATTTAAACAACGTTTAGACAAATTCAATTTAGTTCCTTAATAATATTAATATAATGTCGTACACACTTTATCACTAGATTTCAAAATGGAACGCGTGTGCTCAGTTTGTTGGCAGGAATTTTCCCGCATGAAATCTCTGAAGATATGTATTCGTACTATTCTAAGTAACTTGCCTATGGATTTCGATACACGACTATAATGAACCAATAGTAATACTCATTTATTTTCTCATTCTAAAATGTTACCACCAAAATTTGCTTGTGACCGCAGAGTTCCAGTTGATGCACCAATACTGCCTGGGCCGGAAGGCCAGTTGTCCACTTAAAAGAGAATGTTTACATGTGTTTAATGGGAAATTCAATTGTTCCATTAAATAGCTGTTAATGGAGACGACCGCGTAATTGAGGGACATCACGATTTACTACATATAAAAAAATGGTATGTGATTCACAAAAAAGGCATGAAAGATAAGTATTAAAAGTATGTGACGGATTACGAATTCAAGCAGATGGCAGATTTATAAAAATAGATACACATACCAGATACATAAGTTATTGAAATATTTGTGTTCTAAGAAAATATAGAAATAAGATCTAAGAAAATAACTAATAAGAATTGACATATTTAGATATAAGATTAGGTAACTAGGTGGGGTTTAAAAGTCGATTGTGGAGAACACATCGTTAAGCAATGACAGAAAAAATGGGAGTAAAAAAGCCCCTTTAAATTTGGTTTATGTTGGTGACTATGTAATAATGTGGAAGACTGTGATTTGTGGAAGAAAAATTCATGCTCTTGGAAATAAAATAGGCTGCAGGGAAGGACCGGCGGGTGGGAGAAACGCGGAACAAACTGGTGATAATCAGCAAATTTGAGAATTGTACCTTTCATGTTAATCCATAAAGAACGTTGATACGTATGGGGCCTCAGGAGGCAGAAAACGAAAACAGAAGAGGTCACAGGCAGTAATTAAAATGCAACCCTCGGCACATCGAGCAAATTATACCCACGCTCTTTCATTCCATACGGCAGCAATGTCGTATCTATCGTCGGCGGGTTTATACGTTGTGCGGGCAGAATTTCCCAAATCTCCCTCTTTCGCTACCCTGTAATGGGGCATTTATTACTACGTATTCTTTTATTGCCTCGATTCCATGCACTGCGCCGACCAAGTATTACGGCGTCGTTTTGTGCGAGCGTAAAACGCCGATCGACGCCATTTTGTGACGCGTCCCGACTACGATCACTTTAGTGCGTTACGAAACACACGACGCTTACACGGCCATTTTCTTTTGATGTCCATGGCACCTCCATTAACCACTGTTGCGAGGGCATAGTTAATCCACGTGTTTGGTTAAACAGAAGTGTAAATAGTTGCATAGAAACACCGAAAGAAACATTTTGGTGTCTAATAATAAATAAAATCCAGAGAAATGTGTAGAGCGTAGAGAAATACGAGATTATAGAGAATATTCTAGATATATTCTAGAGAAATATGAATTGCGTTATGACATAATGAGAGAGATAATATCAGTTAACATTCGTGCCATGAGAAACCTCAAGTGCCATGATAAACATCGGCTTTTATTTTCTCCAGCCTTCTACAAATTACAATATTCTTATGATTGTAACATTTATAAAGACACATGAGCACAAAATTCAGTTAGTGTGATACTGATGTGCAGTAATTGTTAATGAAACATATTTAGAACGAAAACAGAAATGAAATTTCGCAGAATATGTTGTAGGGGAAAAGGCAGGCGCCCAAGCAAGTCACAATAGAAATTACGCTGCAACACACGTCACAAGCCTGAACAGTTCAGCAACAAGAAGTACTAGAAACAGTAAAGAACACGAGATATATATTTCTTGTGGCATCCGTAAAATTACTGTTTTGGACCTATTACATTTTTTGATCTCTCTCATTCTGTATCACGAAGAAATCTTAAAACTTGAATTTCAGTATGAAGCTATTTTCACTTTCAAAACAATCATTTACTAAGGGCAAAAAGTTTTCATGGATCTAACTAGTTAGTTTTTAATTCCTTATTAATTTTTAATGATAACAACTATCTAACATTTCCGAATTCTAATATGAAATTGAGTGGAGTAATTTAAAACCCATCGGCACATCATACTATATGCAATAATTCATCAACATTATTCCTCCCTCTAATTACCCTACTATATGTGGTTAAAAGGCAGAGATAAACCACCACTGTGACGCTGTGCCCAGAAAGAAAAGAAAGAAGAGGGCACAAAGAAGTCTGTCTTGTGCTTCGCCTACGCTGAGAGTGAAACGAACTCGTAACATTACATTGCAAAATGCACGATTCACACATTACAAGGACGCTATTTTTAGATAAGTTTTTAGTTCGTAGTTAAGGTCGGTTATACTACTTGTTGAATTAATATTTATGAACATTAAATCTCAGTAAAGGATGTAGATTTGTTTTTGATTTAATTTATTTATAGAAGCGAAAATAGTCCCCCCATGTGTGTATCATTCGGTACGAATTTCAAAAACAAAATACTAGATTTTTTTCAATTATGTTTTAAATTCAGTCCGTATGAAAATGATCTCATTTATTACCAGTTGTAAGGCCTATGTCGAAAGCAAGCGTACGAACTGACGTAAGCTTTTGTCACTTCGATACATTTTTTGTAATCTTCTGAAGCGGATTAATTAAACAGCTGGTAGATGTCGCAAACCGCATAACCCAGCCAA